CTCGGAGCCGCCGCCACAGGCGCCCGGACGCGCCCAAGATGGCGCCTCCTCCTCCTTCCCCCCCGCCGCTCCCAAGATGGCGCCTCCTCCTCCTTCCCCCCCCGCCGCTCCCAAGATGGGGCCTCCTCCTTCCCCCCCGCCGCTCCCAAGATGGCGCCAGAGCAGGAGCTGCGGCGGCGCCGGGCTGGGCCTTGCCTGGAGGGGGCCAATGGAATCTCCTTATCGATGATTTGCACCCAAAAAGGTGTTATTTTAATCAGAAAAGCAAGAAACGAATACTTTTTGCATTAATATTCACATGATTGCACACAAGCACCTGAAGAGCACCCGGAGGTGGGTTGCAGGGATCCTGGACCCAAAGCCAAAAGCTGTCGTTCCCCTCAGAGGGAAAACATTTTCCCCCTGCATGTTCCCCTTTATCAGAAGGGTTTTCTGTCGAGCAAGTGGCTGCAGAAAAGCAGAAGCCCTTCTCTGCTCTCAGGTCCCCTTTGGCTCCATGATGTGATTTATGCCTCCTGCCCTGCACCAGCAGCTTTTTTTCCCACTCATAAATCTGAAAGGCTTGACTGAGCATCCATGTCTCACCAGTCTGGTTGTTTTAATCAACCTAACTCCACTTCTTGTTAAAAAAAATGGAGCAAAACAGCTGTAGTGTTTCCTGAGAAGGAAGATGAGAAGGACGAGGCCTTCCTGGTGTCAGCCCTCTGTGAAGAAAACAGCTCCTTTATGGCTCCAGGTCTGCTCAGAGCTGGCAAACCTCCCTTTTCTTGTTGCAGTGGCAGCCGGGTACCCAAGGTAGCGTAATCTCCTCCAAAACCTCCACATTTCAAGTGTTTTTCCAGCATTGTGATGGCCCAGAGCAAGCAACACTGACTGCATGGTGGAGGTCACAGCTCTGTAGTTCTTAATGCCTTTAACACGTCACTGAATCAAGACATAAACTGATTTGAGGCTGTTTGGAAATGATTATTCTGGATGAGGCTTAATTGGCCATCATGATTTTATCCTGGCTTGAAGGAGCTAAGGCACAAGTGGGATGTTTTGTGCTCTTCAACAGCAAAGCTGACTTTGGGTGATGCAGCAATGGTTTACTAGGTTGTTTGTCTGGTCTGCTGGAATTCATAACTCTCAGGCTGCAGCAGAGTAAGTTTTAGATTAAGAGCTGTTAAACTTGAATTTTCTGCTTTAAATCTGCTGGGTTTTTTTCCTGTTGTGGCTGAGCCCACAGGCAGCCCTGCTCTGTGTCACATTTCTAGTTTTTCCACGTGGTGATGATGGCACTTCCCCTTGCAAGGTTTCAGTGATGCACTAATAAAAAGTGCTTTTACAGCATGATAATTCCAAATTTCTATCCTGTATCCTTGAAAACAACCACTGGAAACCTTGGCTGACTACTTTCTGGCCAGGAGACTGGGGAGATAAGGAAGGGCTGGGGTGAATGGACTCTGAAGGACAAAGCAGTAGGGTTTTAATTGAGGTTTTGAAGCATTGCATGCATCAGGAACTATTTAAAATTCATAAACATTTACATCTACAAAGGGAGAAGAGGTATTAAAACATGTAGGTGTGACATGTTACTGCTTCAAGTTTGCTCATTAATGTTCAGATCCAGCCAGAGGAATGAAGCTCTGAAGCATTAAGTGATGATCTTAATGCTGAGAGCAGAGATTTCTTTATAGTAAGAAGCTCTGAAGCTATTTTAGGTGACAATGGACTGATGAGGCTTCAAAGTCCACGTTAGCTGGAGGAAAGAAACCTCCAGGGAGCTGAATTGTTGATGTATTTGCATACCAGTGAGTTAGTGGCTGAGTATATTGAAGCTATTGTAGGGCTGCCCAAAATAAGACATAAATAGAAATTGTGCCCTGATCATCAAGGTCTGAGTGTGCTGTTCTGGCTTTATTAGGTAGCAGGCTGCAGTCTTCACAGTTTCCCTGCAAAGCTTCTACCAAGTGACCTCGGTGTCCTTGTCCTCAGTGCTCTGCCTGGCTGTGGTTCTTGGTCACATGAAGATGACTGAGGGCAAATTGATCTCCAAAATTCACCTGGTTGTCAGCTTCCTGGTGTCCTTGCTGAAGAAGAGCTGGAAGAACACGTGTGTTGTGTGCATCTAGAGCACCATGGGGATGTCCCAGCATCCCTATGGACTGGGCAGCAGGAAGGCACCAGTATGGATTAGGGGTTGACCTGCTAGAAAGCAGCCCCATGGAGAAGGACCTTGGGGTCCTGGTGTGCAAGAAGTGATCCATGGAACAGCAGTGTGACCAAGAGAGCCAATAGTATCTTGGGATGTATTGAGAACAGTGGCCAGCAGGTCAAGGGAGGTTCTCCCCCTCGTGCTGCCCTGGTGAGACCACATCTGGAGGGTTGTGTCCAGTTCTGGGCTCCCCAGGTCGAGGGACAGGAGATGCTGGAGAGAGTCCAATGGAGGCTACAAGAATGATGAAGGGACTGGAACATCTGATGAGGAAAGGCTGAGAGACCTGGGGCTGGTCAGTCTTGAGAAAGGAAGACCAAGAGGGGACCTGATGAATGACTATGAATGTCTGCAGGGTGGGTGTCAGGAATGGGCAGTGTCTGTTCAGTGGTGCCTGTGGCAGGACCAGGGGAAACAGCACCAAGTGACAACACAGGAAGTTCCACCTCAACGTGAGGAGAAACTTCTTCACTGTGAGGGTGATGGAGCCCTGGGCCAGGCTGCCCAGAGAGGCTGTGGAGTCTCCTTCTCTGGAGACATTCCAACCCCACCTGGACACGTTCCTGTGTGACCTGCCCTGGGTGTTCCTGCTGCAGCAGGGGGGTTGGGCTTGATCTTCAGGGCTCCCTGTGATTCTGATGGGGTTGAAATCCAACCATGCTGTGCATCTCCTCCCTGATGGGTGTTTGGTTTTCTAACTGCTTGCTGGTTTCTTCAGGCAACTGTCTTGTTTTGCGAGGCTGCTACGTGTCACGCGCAGCTTGTGCTTCCAACTCATCTGGAGATGCTGGGAAGCCCACATGGTTATTGCAACAAGACAAGCAGGGATTTGCTTTGCAGACTGCAAGGAGGGATCTCTGTTCTGCTGGGAATTGTTCTGCCTTGTGGAAAGAGCCTTCTTAGCCCTGTTTTTTCTCTTGGCTGCAGCTTATCATGTACCCTGGATTCCTCTTGGGGTTTACGTGCGAGATAACAGGAGAATTGGAAGCAGACCCTGCAGAAACTAGACATGCTGGGGGGAGGAAAACTGCTTGTTTATATGGTGGTTGGTAGCATCCACATGGAAAATTTTCCTTTTGACTCCTCTTGACCCTCTCAAGAACTTTCAAATCCAGCCTGAACAGTGCAAAGAGGTGGCCTTGTCGTAAAACAACAGCCTGTTTTTCTAGTTCAGCAAAGCTTTATCCAGGAGCAGAGGGAGAGGCAGGGCTGGGGTGGTCCTTGTCCTGATTTATGAGCAGTGTTGGTGAAGTGGAAGGTCTGAAGTTTTGTCGTAGATGTTTTCTGGGCTGTATGTGGAAGGCAGTGTATCATTGTCAGCTGGTTTGCTTGGACCATTTGATAGTAGTGCCTTATCTGCTTCCTCTTCTGTTGGTAGAGATTTGCCTCCTTCATGCTCCAGAGGGGAATTTCCTTTTTGGCCTGATGGTTGGTTGGTTTGGGGTTTTGTTTAAGGAAATAAATATTATGTAATTGCATGTGCTGTCTGTCCACTCTGCTGCCTCCCTGTTCTCCCATAGTGATTTTTTAACCAGTTTCATCACAAGGTGCTCTCTCTCCACTCCAAAAATGGCATCTTGGTGCCATGATCAGACTGCAGAGAACCTCACAGATGTGTGAACCCATGGACATGAAACACCAAACAACAGGGCTGGGTAGGAGCCAGATTCCTTGCTGGAAAGGGCTGCAGTTCATCTGCTCCTGAAAATGGTCCATATCCATCTCCTGAGGGGCTGCCCCTTTCCAAACAGGAGCTGCAAGGCATGGCCAGGCAAACACTGTGTCCCCTCCTGCAGTAATGCTGGGAGCTGGTAAAGTCACCCAGCTTCTCCCTGGAGGTAACAGTGTTCCAGTGACAACCTGTTAATCACAAGCCCATAATCCCCAATATGAAACCTGAATTGAAATCTGCTGGCTGGGTCACCCAGACGTGAGGCTGAACTGCTCAGAGGCCAGCTCAGCAGCCTCCTCTTCTCACCCTGGAATTTAGAACGAAACCAAAAGCAGCAAAACCTCTCTTTCTTGTCTGTCTTTTTGCCAACAACCTTTTAATCCTGCTAAGAGAATTGTGCTCTCCCCGGGGTACTCTGGTGGCTGCCAGGTCCCTGTCAGCTGAGGAGATCAGGGCCATGCTAAAATGAATTTGCTGGAGGGTTGGGGTGTTGCTTTATGCTTTGTTTTTTTTATTTTTTGCAGGATGGGGTCCCTGCACAGCCCGAATAAATCATGTTGGCTGCATCAGCAGCAGCAGCCAGCGTCGGTCTGAGCAGCTTTCCCCTGAGAAGTGGATAATCCAGGTGACCCCAGTCTGTGTGCTCTGAGCTGCAAGTTCAGCTCAGCTGCAGGAGGAGCCCCGGGAAGGTGCTGTCGCGATAGGCTGCTGTCGCGACAGGCTGCTGTGTCAGCGGTGGGACCTCGCTGGAAGGAGCCGGGAGGAGCAAAGGCAGAGCCTGCAGCGTCTCTGCTGCTCACCCCTCTGGGCTGGAGAGCTCCCTGGAGGGTCTTGTTCACCCCCCTGAACAGGTCTGTGCTGGGCTGCTCTTGCTTGTTTGAGACCTTGATGGGAATCACGGTGCTCCCAGGTTAAGAATACATAAAAAAAAAAATCCCTGGGTGCTTTTAGGAAATGCATGTGGAGGCTTTTTGAATGGGATGGTTGGCTAAGAGAGGCAGTGCCTCTTACTGAACCCCTCAGCACGTGTTGGGGGGAGGGAATGGAGGTGGTTTTGAGAAGAAAAGCTCTGAGGGAAACAACACGGTGGTGTCCTTAGATTTGTGTCCTCCATGGGGCAACCTGCTGCAGCTATGGACCTGCCAGAACCTTAGAGCAGACGTTTTGGAGCCTGATCTGCTGCCTGCCCAGTGCCAGGACACAGGGTCTCTGTGGGGATGGGGCCAGCAGGACCAGGCTGTGTTGATGACAAGGCACTGGTGTGTGCAAAGGTGTCTTGTCCTTTGTCCCCCTGGTTTTGTCTGCCTGGCATCCTGTGAAGGTGCTTTTACTTCCGTGCTTTCTTTACAGGAGTCTTGGCTACAGGGTCTGTCAAGGAATGACCTTGTGCTTGGCTAGAAAGAGCACTCAGTGATAAAATATGTAACTTAAACCCGTGTGCCCGAGCAGCCCCCGCGGGCAAGGGGAGGTCCCTGAGGAGGTGACAGTGCCCATCTGCCTTTCAGCAAGTTTAGTGTCTTCCTGGTGCTGAGGATGTGCTAATTGCTGTTAATTGGTGTTCATCATGCATTCCACCGTTTGTGTTTCAACGTACAGGGAGGACACAGCACAGGAATTTGGGGCTCTCCTTCCCCTAAGTCGACTTGTGATTTCTCAGCAACTCTTCATTTTTTGGGGGTCAGGTCCGAGCAGGGGGTGTTTGCCCCAAGAGGGAAAACCCATCCCTGAAGCTCCAAGTCCTGACCTTGTGGGGAGCAGGTGATGGCTGTTCCCAAAGCCTCATCCCACTGTAGCCCAGCTCCTGCTTCAAGGCTGCAAATGGGCCCTCTCAGCCCTCCCTGGCCCTGGGGCCTCATCCTGCACCCTCTGCAGATGGGTTTGAGGCTGGGCCAGCCCTTCCCCGGGGCTGGGAGGTGCTGCCTGACCCTCTCAGAGCTCAAGAGATTTGCAGCCCCCAAGGACCTGCCCCGTCCTTCATCAGGGTCTCTGGGCATGGGGGGACCAGCAGTGGCTGCCAACCCGGTCCTGGAGCCGAGCATCGAGTCTGGCTCCGGGTAAGCTCGTTAGGGGAAGAAAGCAGCTTAGAGGATGGGATAGATTTGAGGAAAGGGGAAAGGGCAGCGAGGGTGATGGCTGGGAGAAAAGTGGGGCTGCTGAGAGGGGCAGGAGGGATGGGGGGTCCTGGGCAGAGCAGCTTCCCTGCATCACCAAATCCGATGCTACAGGGGCTCCTTGCCAACCATCCCGGTTTAGCCTGGTGCTGTTCCCCCTCTGGAGGCATGGGGGGGGGGGATCCCCCAACTTCACCAAGGTCCTGGGTGCCACTGCCCTGTCCCCAGGCTGCTGCTGAGGCTCAGGTTCGCTCTGCTCTCCGGGCAGCCCCGATCCCTCCCAGCCCCGCACCTGCAAAGAGCGGGTGCAGGGATCCTGTCCCCGGGGCCACCTGCGAGCCCGCCCCGGGAGCTCCCAGCTCTCTGCATGTCCTTTAAAGGCCTTCTCGCACCCAGCTCTTCCCTGGCAGCTCCTTCTGCCGCAGATGCGGTCGCTCTCCCCTCGGGGGGAAGCTCTGCCCGCCCGCAGCTGCACCGCCCGGGGCCCCGCACCCCCCGACCCGACCCCTCTCCCGGGAACCCCCAGAGCGCCGGGTCCGAGCTGGGCGGCCCCAGCACCTGCCTTCGGCTGCTTGAGACAAGTTCAGGCAGGTAACGACCCCGGGGAGCGTTTGGTAAAGTCGCCGAGCCCGAGGGAAAGCGCTCGGTCTGGCTTCCCCCGGGGGGGGTGGGTTTTATTGCCACTGCCGGGCCAAGCAGCTGCGTGTCCCCGGGTGTCCCTCCCTGGAAACAAGATCAGGAGAGTGAGTGGCTGCAAAGCTGGCTGAGCTGCTGTAAATCAGCAGGCTGCAGGATCTGCCTGGCTGTTAGGGAGAGAGGGCTTTGCAGCAGGGAAAAACCCTCGGGAAAACTCTGACGCTGATGTGATGAGTTTGCTGGATCCCTGCTGGCCAGGGTCTCCCAGGACCCTTGGCAGAGGTGTTTGGGGCAGTTTCCAGTGTGTAGGCATGATAATAGGCTTGTTTTGACAGATGCCAAGTGCTGCTGGTTTGAATACCTGCACCAGGGCTGAGCAGGCTCTGGGAGGTGGGTGATGGGTGAGATGGGTGACAACCCCGCTGGGTGCTGGGGCAGCTGAGCTTGGCCAAGGGGCACTTCAAGAAGTTCCTTCTCTCTGTCCCCTTAAATCTCTGCTGCATTTTGTGTCCTGGCCATTCAAAAAAAACAACCAGAAAACCCAACCACAACTCCCTTTCTGCCCCCCTCCTGCGTGTCTGTGGGCACAGCTCCCGGGGAGCTGCATCCTGCAGGGCAGTCCCTTCTGCACAGTGATTTTTACCCTGGGCTGAGAGGAGGACTCTGTGGATTTTCTGCTGGCTTCCTCCGATTCTTAAACACTGCAAAACAGCCTAAATGAGACGTCTGAGCTCCCTTGGATGTGGGAATCTCGTGTGTTTGTCTATCTGGGAGCTGGCCTGGCAGGGGGGTGGCTTGGGCTGTCCCTTGCCCAGAGTACAGCAGGTCACTCTGCACTGGGTGCTCACCCTGGCAGGTGGGTGCCAACTTCCCTCCCTCCACGGAGACGAAGAACATCATGAGCCCCGAGTGAGGATTGCCCCGTGGGAGGGTAACGGGGGTGGCGAGAGGGAAAGTCCACCCTCAGTGCTGCAGAGAAACAGGGCTGGTATTAAGTTCCTCATTGGCCTCCCTCCGTGCCCACCCGAATCCCGGCAGCATCCCCCTGGAATCTCAAGAGGGCCTCCCCACCTCTTTTCCCACAGATGCCTCCACGCTGAAAGCAGAGGAGCTCGGAGCTCCTGCTGGGTGAGAAAACCGCTTTAAAAATATAACATTTAGAGGCGTTCTCCCATCTGCCCGCGGCTGAGATGTGTCTCTCATCCTAGGTGTGTTGCTGGCCCTGCAGCTCTGCACATGAAGGCGCTGGCAGGGACCCCGCCGGGAGAGGGGGAACAGGAGGCGCCGGGACTCGCCCTGGGGCGACGGCGAAGGCGGCAGCGACAGAGGACGGGCCGCCCACCCAGCCCCTCGCCGCTGAGGTACGTGCACGCAGGGCTCGCCCCGGGGCTCAGCAGGATGGGAACAGCGGTGCCAGGCAAGGGGGACAATGGCTGGAGCATCACCCTGCTCCGAAGCACCGAGCATCCTTTTGGCACAGCAGCCCCTTCGCCTGGGAAGGGACCCCCAGGCTTGCAGGGAGGAGAGGGAAAAGGCCTGTTGGAGCCCTTTGCCAGAGCCAGGAGCAAAGTTTGGGGGTTCAAAACCTTTCCCAGTTGGGTGCTGAGCCCCAGAATTAGGCCACAGTACAGCAGCCCTTGGATCTCTATGCACAGATGATTTTCCATCCCTGGGATGCTCCAGCATCCAGAGCAGGGATGCTATGGAGCTGCTAGACTTCCTTGCAGCCAGGAAAGGGTTTTGGGGTGGGGAGTCCATTCCAGTACAATTCTGGGGGGGCAGGACTGTGTGTGACAAGATGTGGTGCTGATGTGAGGTGGTGCTCAAGCTCTGCCAGCAGCCAGGTTTGTTGCGGTGCCTGCGCAGAGGCCGAGTCTCAGCAAGGTCTGCTTGGCAGCCAGGGTGAAAAAAAAGAAGGAGAAAATAATAATGTGCAGAGGAAAAGCACTACCCTAAGCCCGTGACTCACTGCTGGCTGGAAACTGCTTTGGCTTTGTCAGGCTCCTCAGTGGTGGCTCTGCAGGCTGCTGTGCCTGTGCCAGGGAGAGGGAGGATGGGGACAGGGACGGAGTGGGCTGCAGAGGATGCTTGGGAAAGACCCAGGTCTGGAGCAGCATCCATCAAGGGGGCCTGGGGGAGGGCAGAGGGGGTGGGTTGCTGCCTCTGTTGCTGGAGTTTCTTAGGGATTTGTCTGGGCTTCACTCCACAGGGAGCAGCAGGCAGAGCTGGCTGGGCTCCCCACCTCTCCAGATGAAGGTAAGCACAGTCCAGGGTGGGCATGGGGGAGAGGAAAGGTTTCCTCCCTCCCTGAGCATCATTCCAGGGGTCCAGCACGAGGATATCCCCTGGCTTGGCAGCACCTACTTGCAACCCCAAGCCCCTTCCAGCTCGGGGGACCTAGACCCTGTCCCCTTGATCTACCCTGCTAACTGTAACCCCCTGGCTGCATCAGAGCCCTCACTCTCCTCCCCTGGCCCAGCATGGCTGCAGCTCCCTTAACCCTCCAGTGGCATTTTGGGGGGCACCTGCCAGCCTATGCCCCCTGGGAGCCTGCAGAAGGGCCAGCAGGGTTCTGGAGGGTCTGGCCTGAAGTGGTGTCACTGCTGCCCAGCTCCCACCACCCTTTCTGTCCCTAGGGACGATGAGCAGTCCCCAAGGGCACCCAGATGGGATTGTGGCCGGGAGTGAGAGGACTGTGGAGCTCATTGGTGAGGTGAGAAGGAAAGGAGGGTGATAGGCTGGGGGGACCCCTCCTTCCCTCCTGGGGCTCGGCTGGACCCTCAGCTGCTCTGTGCTGCTCTTTTTGGGATGTGTCCAGCACTGGGGAGGCTTTTAGCTCTGACAGTGCCCTGGTGCCCCCCCAGGTACCAGGCACGGACAGGCAGGAGCTGGCTGTGCGCATCGGGGACAGTGACGGGACCGAGGAAGGTGGGTGAGTCCCCATCCCACAGCTGGGTCCCCTTGGGGGGAGACTTGAGGTAGCTGGGGACAAGTGTGGGAACAGTGTTTGCTCCCTTGGTGGGAACATGTGGACTAGCCTGGGGGGGACTGACACCCTGCTGGTGCTGGGGGGAGGATTGGGACAGTCCCGTTCCTTGGGCACCTGCTCCCTGTTGGGACAGGAGGGCAGGGGGAGGAGGAAAGGCCAAGGAAAAGCCTTCACATGTGGTCTCTCCTTTGATATTGCTGCCCCCCTGCAGGTGCAGAAACCTCAGAAGAGCCACTGCTGAATTTTCCCAGTGAGCTCTCGGTGCTGGAAAGACTGGGCTTGCACAGGTAAGACCCACATCCCTGGGGGACTATGAGACAGGGGGGTGCCAGGGCACCTCATGATCCAGGGATTGGACTTTCCTCGTTTTTCACTGCACAGGATCCATTTTCCAGGTGAAGAGCAGTTGGACCCCCACTCCCCCCCCGGGAGCCAACCACATGCATTTTTAGTGTGCAGCCCTTGTGGTGCCACCACCTCTGACACTACTTTTCTTTTTGCAGGGTGGCTTTGACAGAGCAGGATGTGGAGGTGAGTCCTGCTGAGGGGCTGTGGGTGGGCTGGGGCAGTGGGACAGAGGGACAGAGCCCTGTCTCACAGCCCTGAGGCTGCTCCTGGCCACCCTCTGAGCACCGCAGTCCCCTGGCAGCTGCCTCACAAATCCCTCTCCCGGCCATCCTGTCGGCATTTGGAGGCAGCTGCGTTTTCCAGTGGGAAGATGAGCCCGTCCTCTGGGTGCCCGGCGATCCCACCAAGTGCTCTGCAGTTCTGCCGAGCGCCCCCTTAGCCGGGGAGGTGGCGGAAGCCACGCTAATAAAAATAATCCTGCTGCCGGTGCCAGGGCTGAGTCAGGCTCCGCTGCCAGGCGGGACCTGCAGCGAGGGCTGGCGTCTGCCCGGCGCGGGCTCCTGCCAGGAGAGCTTGGGATTTCCATGCCTTATCAGCCGCCTGGGGACATGGCCAGGCTGGCATCTCACAGGTTCTGTCCCCAGCATGTAGCAGCCTTGTATGTATCTTGTCCCCAGCATGTAGCTCAGCGCTGCCCCTCTTGGGGACATGCTAAAGGGGACATGTCTGTGCCTCGGGGACAGCAGCCCGTGGCCCTGGAGGCTTTGCCTCCTGTGTTCCACCTCTCTCCCTCCTCCTCTCTCCCTCCCACCCCGCAGGCAGCCTTTGCCCACCTCGCCCTGGCTTTTCGCTGCGACGTGTTCACCCTGCGGCAACGGGTGCAGGTGGAGAAACGGGCACGGGACGCGGCGGAAGAAAACATCCAGGAGGAGCTGGAGCAGTGCCGGGCTGCCCTGGAGGTGGGTGGGCACCAGGGCAGGCATCTGCTGGGGACATCCAGCCCTGAAGGTCCTGGCTCTGGCACCTCCACCCTCTCCCTCCACAGAGGCTGGTGCCATCCTGCACGGACGTGGGCTGCAAGGAGACGCTGGAGGAGCTGCAGCACAGCCTGGCCGTGCTGGCGGCCGCTGTTGAGCGGGCAACCAGTGCTGCCGAGAAGCTGGGAGCTGTGCATCAGGTCTGGGCATGGCCCAGGGCTCCCCACCAGGACTGGGAGGGACAGAGGATGCTGCAGCTGGGCTTGAGGAGCCATCCCTGGGCTTGGGAATCCATCCCTGGGCTTGCTGGGGTCTGTCCCCCCTCCTCGTGGTGCTGGTGTCGACCTCATGTTTGCACGTCCTGGGGTGTGAAGGATCTGCCTGCCCTAGGGAGCAGGAGGGGTAGAGGCAATATGGGATGCACAGTGAGGAGCTGGCAGGCACCTGGGTCCTCAGGGACCTGATTCCCCGTCCTGTCTGGCTGCAGGAGGCCCGGATGAGCCGAGCAGCAGAGGTGATGGTCCAGCACGTGGAGAACCTGAAGCGGCACCACATGCGGGAGCACGCGGAGCTGGAGGAGATGAAGCGCCTGATCCAGCAAAACTCCCGCAACCGGCAGCTGGCAGAGACCCAGGGTGAGGTGGGCTCTGCCACCAGGGGGTGCGCGGGGCAGCTCTGTGGGATTTGGTCCCCAACCCCTCCAGGGGGACAGTGTGACCCTGCAGCACCGAGCCAGCAGGTTGTGCAAGCAGGGGCGGGTGACAGCTGGGACCTGATGACAAGTGCGAGGGGCCAGGGTGACAGCAGACACGGCGTGGGAGCAGGTGCTGGTGGCTGGAGAACCATCATCCCACAGCCCAGCTGGGAATGCAGGGCAGGGGGGTACAGGGCACACAAAGGACTCTCTGTCCCTGGACACCAAACCTCACACATGTCATTGCCATGCACGCAAGCAAGGTCTCCCCAGCCAGGGCACCCCTGTGACTTGTGCCAAGCATGTGGCCAGGCCAGTTGTCAGTGGGAGGGAGGTTTGCAACCATCCATGCATCAGCCCCACCTTCATTTTTTGGGGTGAAATAAGGCTGCTTCTCTTTGCTCCCAGATGACGTGGAGCCACGGCTGAGGCCTCACCCCCTGATGCGAACTTTCCAGCAGGTAACTGGTCCCAGTTCAATAGCCCTGGAGTCCCCCCATGCCCTGCCTCGCCTGGTGGTCCCCATGAACCCACTAGTAAAACATCCAGGAGGAGCTGGAGCAGTGCCGGGCTGCCCTGGAGGGGGGTGGGCACCAGGGCAGGCATCTGCTGGGGACATCCAGCCCTGAAGGTCCTGGCTCTGGCACCTCCACCCTCTCCCTCCACAGAGGCTGGGGCCACCCTGCACCGACCGGGGCCGCAAGGAGGCGGT